ATAGAGGCAAAGTCTTCATCTGCTGGCTTGTCACTGACTTTCATTAGGGGGGGGGGAAAGGGAGCTGTCAGAATCCGGTGGGAACAATATGTTACATATGCCTGGCATAACTTTAGGAAGAATCCGCCGCAAAATTAAAAGATCAGAAGCCTAAGTAGAGAAGGAGGGGCTGTGATATGAGTGGTAAACAGATATAACCAGCCCCCTGCAGCATTGTCCATACTACAGTTGAGGAATACTACACACCCTGCTAAAGGACTGCCTGACAGACAGCCCGAGCTGGAGATTCACAACACAGGAGGAATGCATGCAGTGAAACAGGATCCCAGTGTTCCAGCTTCAGGTATTCGGGAGACACTGGCCAAGCTGTCTACCTGTTGATTATCACATGAAGAGATTGCTGGCTCTTCACCATGAAATCCACTCTCAGCGCCGACGCAGGCTGCAAACCTTCTTCTTCTGGAAACAGGTGAATGTCCTGTGGATTTTTTTCCCCCCTGCTTTTTTTTAAGTTTCTTATTTTTTCCCCCCCCTGCTGCAAATACATGCCCCAGTGGGAGAAGACGCTGAAAGGAGACATGCACTGGGTGATGGTGAAGTACTAAGGGTGAGCTTTGCACGCTCACTGCATCACCGAACTCCACGTGTGACAAAAATTTACAAACACTCACTGTCTGATCTCATCACTAAAGGGCTTTGGTTTTTTGGTGTGCTGTGCCTTTGATACTTTGACCTGGATCTCCTGTTGTCTATGAACTAACAGAACCCCCCCCGCCCCCCAAACTGCCGGCTCTGAACGCTTTGGATCCCCCTTCCTAATCCAGGAATATGAACAAGAAGACGAGACGTTGGATCTTTCATATCTTTCTAAGTCTGGGGATTGTCTATATTAAGATAGGGTAAGTAGAATCACTGTGAGCATGACCACTAGGCACTGATCACTAACAGGGAGCTGTGGTTGGTGCACGGTGCTTGCTGCTGGCTCCCAAGTTCATTCATTCATCCATCCTGGCTGTAGCATGCAGTGAAAAGTTTGGGACTACACTGAACTTAGTTTGGGAGGCGTAGGGTGTGAGGAGGTGTATTACACATATGACGAGTCCATTGATGCAGAAGCAGGCTGCTCATAGAGCGTACTAGTCTCCCTAGCGGTCTATGTCATTTGTGTATCTGTAATTCTATGCAAGTAGAAGTATACCCTTAGTATAGGATCAGTAATTGTTTCTAATTAAAGCTCAAAGCTCACCATAGGTGTTACAATTTGACCATAGAATCTTTGTACAATTAACTGCAGATTTACCCAAACTATGTAATATGAGGACCTACCCAAACTATACAATTAATCGGTATCAGGCAAGCTCCTGCACTATATATGCCTCCATTTATGCTTTGTCGTGTCTTACCGAAATCTCGACAATGCTCAACTTGAAGAATACCATTATTTTCTGTTCACACTTGAGTTTTGTGTCTGTCACTTGAAGGTCGAAAAGGTAAATGACCTTATACAAGTAGACTTCAATGTTAGCACCTGAAAAATGTGCATAGTGCCCAATTTTTGTGCATAACAACCACCTCCTCCTAGCACTTCAAAATCCCCAGAAAAAGCTTGAGCTCAATGGGGGCTAATAGATTTCTTAGTCAGATTGTAACATTCGTGGTGATCCTAATGTTGGCCATACACTGACCGTATCAATCATTTCAAACTTCTAAATCTAACAGTTATCGATCCATTTTCACCATCATTTCAATCGTTTTTGACTAGGAATTGAAAGAGCTTGGATGTCTGAGAAAATTGGAATTGCTTTCCAGTCATGTGGTAATGGGAGCAATCAACTAATTCTTAAACAATCAATTTCAGTTTTTGTTTGGTTTTGCAAGAGATTGGATCGATGTAGACAAATTTATCATTTGCGTTACATCATATGGGTGTTTCCGATATATGTCTGCTTAAAGTGATTGGACTGCTTGATCACATGAAAAATCGATATGTGTATGACCAGTATAACTCCTCCTCAGTGGCACGTGTTATACTGTAAGGCAAGGGGCAGGAATCACCACCTTGCTATGTGGTTTTTATCTTGTAGTCATACAGGCTCTTGGAGTATTCTCCATGCCCAAGATCAACTGGAAAAGTCTACAGTTTTCAAAAGAGGCATGTCTTGTCTATGTAAGTGTTAAGTGTAAGTGTGGGCCATACACATATTGATCCGATCATTTGATAAAACAGTCGTTTTATTATACTGATCTATTCTGTTATCGATTGTTACAACCATTAGGATTCGTTTTGTCCAATTTTGGAGGATCAAATCAAGGATAGGTTGCAAAATTATAATTTTTTTCAAGCAAGATTTGTGGTGTATGGAGTAATCAATCGATTTTGAAATGATCACTTTAGATTTTTCTTTACTGTTTCCTATAATGTTTACATTTTAAAAGTGATGTTACTGTTTGTGTTGCCTTGAACAATCTTTTTAGACATCTAATTGATTAAAATGATCATAATCAATGAAAATTCTGTGTGTATGGTCAGTGTAAACTGTGCAATGATGCAAACAGAAAACAATGTTCCCACAGGGCATAATGTATAATTCAAGAGCCTCTGCAGGCACAGGAAATGCAATAGATAATAATTTGTATTTATAGAGATGATTAATGTACTATCCTGTTTCACCATTTGCCTGGAGAGTGGAGTTACTTTAGCAATATCCAATAGTCACCTTCACACATAGATGGCACTGCTTAAATAACCTCCTGGATCAATAAAGGAAATTAGTCACAGAGTCACACTGGAACGTGTTCAGATCTTTGTTTAGCAGCACAGGAGCTGTCTGGGCTCCTTTCACTAGCTGTCCAGAGTCTGCAGTGTGTTTCTGACCTAACTGGAGGAACCCTTGAAATAATTTTCAGGTTTTTCTGCTAAAAAACATTCTACCTACAGCAGTACAACAACATGATCAACAAGTTGAATATTTTTGTAAATGTTTATTACAGGTATTTATATAAAGCACCAACAATTTTTACATTCACATCAGCCCCTGCCCTCAAGGTGCTTACAATCTAAGGTTCCTATCTCACATGCACACAGGGCCAATTTACCTTCCAGCATGTCTTTGGAGTGTGGTAGGAGACCCACACAAGCACTCCTTGCAGATAGTGTCATGACCAGGATTTGAACCAGGGACCTACAGTGTTACAAGGCAGAAGTGCTAACCACTATGCCACTGTGCTTAGATAGCTGTAATAAAAAAAAAATAGTATTGTGGCATATTTGACTCCCAGGGCAGATAATTTTGTTAGCAATTCAATACGAAAAATAATTTTTAATAGTCTCGAAATGAATAACTGCAGAAAAGAAAGGAAGACAGTAAACAATGTGGTGTTCTCTAATGCTAGTGGTCAGTGTAGACTTGACCCCTTCCATTGTTGGTTTGTGGAAGATGTCCCTTTTGCATTGGTGGACAGTGTAGGCAGAAGATTGATCTACCATTGCTCACTGCTCAAGAAGTTCCTAGCAACCTCAGGGGGAACCCTAGGGTTCCACAAAACCCTGGCTGAGAAATGCTGCTTAAAGGAGAACTATGAGGTGAGTGCTTTTCACTCACCTCATAGTTCTAGCTGACCTGTGACAATGAGACTGTCACAGGTCGGCTCAGTAGATCGGGAGGTGAGCGAACACATACCGGCGTTCGCTCACCTCTCGATCCTGTCACAGCTTTCTGCCGTGACAGGGGAGGGGCTGTAATCTCCCCTCCCCGCTCCGAACCGCCAGCTCTGACTGGCGGAACGGACGGGGCGGGTACAGCTGGCTCTGCCTCTAGATAGGCAGAGCCAGCTGTCAGTCACGCAGCTGGGCGGATCCCGGCACAATTGTCGGGATCCGCTTCAGCTGCGGCGTCTTAGTATACCACAAACAGCAGCTCGCGGTATACTGCGGCGTCTCAGTATGCCGCGAGCTACAGCTCGCGGTATACTGAGCCTAGGGTGACGGGAGGACGCTAGTTTGTGTCCTCCCGTTACCCTAAGGAGAACTATGGGGAAAAGCCCTAACCACATAGTTCTCCTTTAAGGCCCCTTGCACACTGGTGTTTTGTCAGTCTGTGTTTGACCCGTTATAAGACAGATCAAAATGGACTGCAGTACATCCTGAAAGTAAGCAGGTAGACATTCACCTATATTCGTCCACCACAGGGTCAATTCAGGTTCGTTGGACCCCTTGAACTGGTGGTTAGTGTAGAATTGCATTGATTGTCAGTATAGAATTGACCCCTTGCATTGGTGGTTAGGGGAAAATTTCCCTCTTGCATTGGTGGACAGTGTAGGCAGAAGATAAATCCGCCATTGCTCACTGCTCAAGAAACTCCTAGCAACCTCATGGGGGAACCCTAGCGTTCCATGAAACATTGGTTGAGAAATGCTGCTTAAGGCCCCTTGTGCACTGGCATTCTGTCAGTCTGTTTTCGACCCATGATAAGATGGACTGGAGTACATCCATGTGGGCGACTGCAAGTAAGCGGACAGGCATTCACCTATATACGTCCACTTTGGGGTGCATTCATGTTTGTTGGACCCCTTGCATTGGTAGTTAGTGGCAAATGCCCCCCTTATATTGTGGATTAGTGTAGAATTGACCCCTTGCATTGGTTGTCAGGGTACAATTGATCCCTTGCATTGCTAGTCATTTTAGAATTTACCTCTTGCATTGGTGGTTAGTGTAGAATTGACCCCTTGCATTGGTGGCTAGTGGGACATTTCCCACTTTGCATCGGTGGTCATTGTAGGTGGTTGCACCATTGCTCACTGCTCAAGGAACCCCCAGAAACCTCAAGTGGAGCTCTTGGGTTCCATGGAACCCTGGTTGAGAAACACTGCTTAAGACTCCTTGGACACAGGTGTTCAGTCAGTCAGTTTTTGACCCATGATTAAACAGATCAACAAAGTATTGCAGAGATACATATATGTGGGTTGACAGATGTAAGCAGACAGGCGTATACTTCCGAGTCAGTTGAGGTCCGTTGGACCAAATGCAAAACGTTCGCCTCAAGGTCTTTTTCTACTGACCTGAATTAATGGTGGATATTCAGACGTACATCCGTTTAGATCTGACCACCCATAGTGATTACAAAGGTCATTTTTTCCTCCATCCCAAGATGGAAGGAAATCTGAATGCAAACGGATGTTACATATGTAACATCTATATCCGTCCTGATCCAACTCAGCAGTGGATCAGTCTATGGATCCCCTACTAAGACGGATTGGACAGCGCACGTGTAAAGGGACCAGGAGCAGTTTCATGATTTCATTTAATTAGTGAGGAACTATGATTCCATTCCAAGCCCTGTATATAACATATCAGCAATGTAAATCATCAGAGGTACTCAGCTAGTACCACTTCTAAGCAATAATTTTATCTAACATTGGCAATGCCATGATATGAAAGGTGTATCACCATCTTATATCTAGGAGGACACTGAGAGAGAAAACCATCTTCACACTGTGTTTTAGATAATAAAAAGTTAGATGTGGCAATGCAAAGAACAGTGATAATGGTCCTGCAATGGCACCATCATCATCCTGTAATAGCAAACAGTCCATTTAGGTTTCCAGAAAACACAAATAATGAATTCTGATTGGTTACTCTGTGTTCTGTACTTTCACATTGCCTGTGTTCTGTACTTTCACATTGCCATGTCCTTACTGATTAAGGCTGTAATAGCACCTATATAGCATATAATAGCATAGGAAATTCCCTTGGCTCCATCTAGTGTTGAGAATGCAGTGCAAATGGCATTTGCCCAGCGTATAGCTGGGTGGATGATCTATAATTCATCCCTTTATTGATTGCACTTGAGATTTGGTGGAACTACAAGGCCCATTGTTCCCTTTCAGCCAATTATAATTT